GCCGGTTGTTTCACCCTCAGCTTCAAACTTCAAACCCTAACCCCCCTAACCCCTAAACCCCTAAACCCCAAACCCTAACCCCCCTAACCCCTAAACCTCTAGACCCCAAACCCTAACCTCCCTAACCCCTATACCCATAAACCCCAAACCCTAACCTCCCTAACCCCTATACCCCTAAACCCCAAACCCTAACCCCCCTAACCCCTAAACCCCTAAACCCCAAACCCCCCTAACCCCTATACCCACAAACCCCAAACCCTAACCTCCCTAACCCCTAAACCCCTAAACCCCTAAACCCAAACCTTAACCCCCCTAACCCCTAAACCCCTAAACCCCAAACCCTAACCCCCCTAACCCCTAAACCTCTAGACCCCAAACCCTAACCTCCCTAACCCCTATACCCATAAACCCCAACCCTAACCTCCCTAACCCCTATACCCCTAAACCCTAACCCCCCTAACCCCTAAACCCCTAAACCCCAAACCCTAACCCCCCTAACCCCTAAACCTCTAGACCCCAAACCCTAACCTCCCTAACCCCTATACCCATAAACCCCAAACCCTAACCCCCCTAACCCCTAAACCCCTAAACCCCAAACCCTAACCCCCCTAACCCCTAAACCCCTAAACCCCAAACCCTAACCCCCTAAACCTCTAGACCCCAAACCCTAACCTCCCTAACCCCTATACCCATAAACCCCAAACCCTAACCTCCCTAACCCCTATACCCATAAACCCCAAACCCTAACCCCCCTAACCCCTAAACCCCTAAACCCCAAACCCTAACCCCCCTAACCCCTAAACCCCTAAACCCCAAACCCTAACCCCCTAAACCTCTAGACCCCAAACCCTAACCTCCCTAACCCCTATACCCATAAACCCCAAACCCTAACCTCCCTAACCCCTATACCCATAAACCCCAAACCCTAACCCCCTAACCCCTAAACCCCTAAACCCCAAACCCTAACCCCCCTAACCCCAAACCCTAGCCCCCCTAACCCCTAAACCCCTAAACCCCAAACCCTAACCCCCCTAACCCCTAAACCTCTAGACCCCAAACCCTAACCTCCCTAACCCCTATTCAGGGGTTACACTAACCATCCTGGCTCGCGGTGGGTGCTCTTAAGATGTTTGGGTGCTTGCTCATAGGTTTTGGTTGGCAACGATCAGACAACATGTTCCTTATGTTCGGCAACGATCACACAACATGTTCCTCACGAAACTCTCCTGTTTTCACCCCACTGCGGATCGGATCTCCCCTGCGATCGGCCCAGGCTGCTTCAGACCTTTGCCCCAAACTGAGTGTTTGAAGTCTTTCATAAAACCTGGCAGGTCCGAATGCAACCTAGGTTACCCTTCGCCGCTTCGCGGAAGCTTCAGCTTTGCGAAGCCAGCTCAGAACCATAAAAAAAGCTTGGCCCTCGCTCCTTTTGCTGGCCGTCATACTTCGTATGGTGGCCTTCCTTTCGTCGATTTGCATGAGCGGCAAATCGGGGTTGAACGAGGCAGATGTGGACTGCCTCGGATGCGGGATCATAGGTTTTGCGGAATTTATGCTTGCAAGCACAGCACTCTCTCAATCAGAATCAGCCAAGATACTTTCCCTCGAAAAGTCTGCCACCAAGCAGCTTCCCCTGATAGTGGGGCAGAGTTTGATCTCGGAACACAGTTTTGTGAATATGGACATTCTCCGGCAGCTCGTAGCGGTCAGTGATCTCCTTCGGGATGGCTGCGGTTGCGCTTAGCAAACTTCGGGATGCTCGCTCATCGATCGCATGGGCCGCCACTGGCATATCCATATCCGCATCGTCCTGCTTGGCCTCGTCCTGTCCGAATCATGCTCATAATTGTTTGTTTGAACAGACTTTGAACCTATCGGTTGCAACTTGCCCCGGCCTCACTCTCCTCATCCATGCCAGCCAGCAGGTGTCTGCAGGCCGTGGTAGCTGGATCGTCGTTCAGCTCCGCCCACTGGTACTCCTGTGGGGCAGAATCATTGAAGTCTACAAAGCGACAGGTTTTCTGCAGTTCGAACGGAAACATGACTCCTCGCTCTCGTCTTTCTCTTCATCTTTCTCCTTGTGATTCTTTCTTTTTTCCTCACGAGATTCAAGAATCTGGATGATCTCCTGAATCACCGTCTCGCTGCAGACCTGCTTTACTGCATCCTCTGCCATCAACCTGCGAATCTTGCAAGCAACAGTTGTATTCTTCGGCATCCTCACGTTCTGATGCAAAAGAAGGTCCGACAAGGAGGCCGAAGGAAGTCGAAGAATCTTTTTCGTCTCCACCAGGCAGGGGAGCAAAGAATACTCGATCGTGCCCTGTCGTACCAGCAGTCCACTGCCCAGCTTGCTCGCTAAGGCATCCGGGGCGATGTGCAACGTGTACAACATCAGCTTTGCCTGCTGTACATTTACCGTACATCTCAAAGTCATGACTTCAAAGAAAGGAAAAATCCTGCCTCGTCGGGGCGGAACAACAGGGTCTGGCACATATGCCTAGGGTGTTGCGAATGATAACAACACACAATGGATCCGGTGGCTTTTGCGAAACGAATATGATTGCAAGCCCAGGCGCTCTGAGACATCAATGCACAGTGCTTTGCTGGCTTGGCCTTTCCCCAGGGGATCAATCTGCACAGCGGCCTTGCTGGCTTCTTTCGGCATCCGCGTTTCATCCGGGATCGGGTTTGGAAGGCCGTCGCGAAATTCGTAGGGCAGCTCTTTCATTCGAATGGCCTGGGGTGTGAAGACATCATATGAATCTCAAACACTTCACTGCATGAATGAAGGATGCCGATCTGAATAGGGTTTCGGTTATCTCAGAATATGAGCTAAAATTTGGCAGTGGTTGTGTGAGGGCTAATAATGCGATTTAAAACGAACAGCAAAGAACCCGGAAAGGCACAAGACCATACTCATATTCTGTGCCAGCAGACCCTGAGAAACAGAAAGGCGTATATATTCCAAATAATAGCAACTAGCAACACGAGCCTTTTCACGAACTTTATTTCTATTTCAATTAACAATAGACTCTAGCATCATATACTGGACTAATCTAAGTGCAAACATTCGAATCATATGAACATGGGATCTATTGCATAGAGCCGAGACCTTTGCATTACATAAAACCAGGCCAGGTGGGCTTAGGACCACTTCGATTCAGTGATTCAGAACTCCAGATTACGAATGCAAGCAAGCATCATAAACCAAACACGGGGACCGTCCCGTGGTCACGAAGAACTCACCCTTCACCTTCAGGAGATCACCAGCTCCCAGGCATTGGGCTGCCCACAGATGCGTGCTCGCATCCAAAACATCCAAAGAGAGCCTCAGCTTCGACAACAAAACATGTTTTGTTTGGTTCGTGAGGCCGAGGGGCGGGGGGCGGGGGGAGGGGGGGGGGGGGGATTGGGGTTGCATGCATAATCATGCGCAAACGAGTGTCCGCTTCATTTCCATGAAAGCACTCAAGGCGTTGAGCTGATCGTGGTTGTGGTGAAAAGCACTTGTGCTGTTCATCGGCTTGACAATCTCATCCATGTTGAAATTCTTGCCTTGCGAATTGGAATAAGGACTGGATTGATTACATGAACCCAATGCATGCATGCATGCTTCCAATCTTCAATCAAGAATCACGGGTTGCAAGCTTCAGGGCACCAGATTTTGGCTTTGAGGCCGGCGGTCTGCTTTCCAATATAATCATCAGAGGCAAGGCGTAGCGGGGTCGGGCTCGTTTCGGACGTGCAAACACGACGATCCAAAGATCGCACTGCTACACTCATCATCGCCTGCATCGATGCTCCCTCAGAGCGGTTCGATTTTTTCAGTGCTGCCTGGATCTCACCAAACACACTCTCAAGATTGGCAGACCATCCAAAAGGAGGGTGCCAGGCCTCGATGAGAGACCTAGCCTTGTCCGTGATTCTGTACTGGCACTGCTCCATCATGGTGTGTATCTCTCGAAAGTTCTGAAAGTCTGTGAACCGGCATCTCGATTTCAGAAGAGCATTCATGCGATCATTGGCTTCCATGAATAGCACCGTCTCCCATTCCTGCTTCATCTCACTCAACACACTTTGCTTGGCGCTCGTGTTTCCATCACCAGGAACAATGAGTGCTGCCGCACAAGCCGGGGCTCGTCGCAAGTAAAGTGCGTATTCCAGCAGCTCGTGAGCCGAAGCCAGAACCATAGAAAAGCACTCATAAAGAACATTCTCTTCGGTTTGACTTCGCCGGAAGGACAAGTCCAGAACCTCCCAATAAAGGGTTTAGTTTCGTCGCATGCACATGAACCCGGATTGATTTGGTTGATTTGGTTCACAAACCAATAATGGAGCGCTAACTACCTGACACAACTTCGAATGGCCTGGGCCGCGGCGCTGCACTTCACATCTGCTGGCATCTTCAGCCCTTCGGAACCCAGAGGACGCCCGCTTGATTTTTTTCAATCGGCCGCTTGATTTTGGAGGCACACGAAACTTCTATTGAATTTGAGGAAATTTCAATCGTTTGGAACTTTTGTTGGTACGTGTTTCTATTGATTTTGAGTGTTGACTTCTATTGAGTTTAATCGTGGTCTTTCTATTGATTTTATGGAAAATTTCTATTGATTTTATGGAAAATTTCTATTGATTTTATGGAAAATTTCTATTGATTTTATGGAGATTTTCTATTGATTTTGAGGTGGATGTTTCTATTGATTTTATGGAGATTTTCTATTGATTTTGAGGTGTATGTTTCTATTGATTTCAGCTTGCTGAAACGACGGCCCGGGCGGCCCCAGTTTGCTAACCAAATAGAGAGAGAGAGAGAGAGAGAGAGAGAGAGAGAGAGAGAGAGAGAGAGAGAGAGAGAGAGAGAGAGAGAGAGAGAGAGAGAGAGAGACAGAGAGACAGAGATACAGAAAGACGGAGGAGACAGACAGAAGAGATGGGATGTGGGCCGGACGGCCCCACGAAGGGAGAAGGCGGGGGAATCATTTTTGGCATGTTCGTGCATGGCAGCCGTCTTGCAACCAAAGCTTCCAGGGGCCGGACGGCCCTAAGAAGGAAGAAGGGGGGGAATCATGCTTCAAATCTCGTGCATGGCAGCCGTCTTCAAGCCAAGCTGCCAGGAACTTTGGGCTAGGTCAAGATGAAGGGCGATGATGAAATTGTCGTCCAGGCCTATGCCAAGCTGCTTCACGCCAAGGTTCCAGGCAAAGTCGCGAGGTCCTTGGTCGTGATGTGGCGGAGAGGTTACCTAGACCAGCTGGAGATTCTTGGCATGAACACATATACATATACATATATATATATATATATACATATATATATACTTATACATATGCCGTATATAGACTATGTATTTAATTTTTTACTTATATAGAGCTAAGGGATGTCGACAAGGAAGTGGGCTTCCTGAACTTTTTGGAGTACTTCATGTACAAGATCGAGAATGATATGGACATCGACCCCGAGCGCTGGCCGGAGGCGACGAAGCACATGAAGATGAAGGAGCACGGGTACATCCGCTTGTTGCTCAACGATGCTTCATTGATCGCTCTCCAAGCAAACCCAGGCCCCTTGAGCCGAATGACGAAGCCTCAACTACTTTCGGAAGCAGTGCGGGTGGGGCTTAAGGTACACCAGTCCTGGAGCGACCAGGAGTTGCGGGCGAGGATCATGGAGCACGTGGACGCTACATTTTTTTGAAATTGAGCCGCCCGTGCGCCAGGTCCGAGGATCTGACCAGTGCCAGGCGGCTGGGAGGTGAGCTCCAGGACAAGCCTCAAGTTTCCAAGATTCAAGGGGTCGTTTGTTAGAAGCGGCTTAATTCAAGTGCTAATCCAGGGCAGGCTACTGCCAGGGTATAATTCAAGCCGAGATCGATCAAGCCCTGCTTGACATGCAAAATTGTCGTGGCGAGAAGAGGACCTGAGCTGAAGTTTTTTTTCATAGTACGCTGCATGCTTCAGGCAGGCCTAGCCAGGTCCTGGGCTTCAAGCTCCAGGCAGGTCTGTCGGGTTTAAGTGCGGCAGGCCGCCAGGCAAGTCCTCAGGTTCTTAGAGCCATGGGCAGCCCCGCAGCTGCTGGCCGCGGCGGCGAACGCAACTTCGCCAAGCCGGAGGTGGACCAGGAGCACTTGCTGGACGTGTTCAAGAAACACGTCAAGCTTCTAGGTGTCCAGGCCGCCTTCAACTTCGACCCCTACGGCAACCTAGCCAAGACGAGTGCTGTCCAGGCCAAAGGGCTTTCAAAGGCGACGGTTTTGCTCAAGAAACTCCAGGAGGTGGAGAGCGTCTTGGCTTTCAAGTACAAGGACTTGAAGGAGTGCTTGGCCAAGGTCAGCAAAGACTACCCGGACCTCATCCACCAGGCCCCGCTGAGCAAGCAAACTGCTTGGGCTGGGGACACGGCCGAGATGATGCTGACCGTCATGGCTCATGCTCGCCGCTTGTGCAACGACACCAGGTTCAAGGAGGCTTGCAGCAAGGCGACCCAGTTCGAGATCAAGGATCTCGAGGAACTCAGGGCGCTGCTTCTTCCAGAAGTGTCGGCCTCACCAGCCAAGCTCCAGCAGGCGGAGACCCACAACACCAAGCGGCCGAGCACAGGGACGCCAAGCCCTGCGACCAAGCCGCCAAAGCTACGGTCGTTAGCCCCTGCGAGCAGTCCGCTTCGAAAGAGTCGGACCAGGGATCTGGAGCTTCCAGACACTCCCAAGACCGCCAAGACGAGTTTGAGCCAGGAAGCCGAAGGCAGTCCCGTGCCAGGCAGCAAGGCTCGAAGCAGGAAGTCTTGGGAGGGCGAGGTTTTGAAGAAGCCAGCTGCAGCCGCTAAGCCTGTGAAAAAGGACAGTGACAAGCCGAAGAAGAAGCCGGCCTCTAATCTTAACATTAGAAAAAAATTTTTGTTGTTCGTAAGCATATATTTCTATCTATGAAGATGTATTTAAGTGAAGCCCTGAATGTTTAATCTCCATCATCAGGCCCCCAAGGACAAGGACAAGCCCGAGTTGACGGAGGCTGAAAGGGGCAAGCTGCAGATCATGCACTACCACGACAGTGTCGCATCGAGAGTCGACGGTTCTAGGCAGCTTTTCCAGATCGTGTGCAGGAAGCATGGTCGGGATAAGACCAAGCTTCAGGTTGCCAAGATGAAGAAGAAGCTCGACGAGGGCGGCTCTTTGGCAGAGGCCTTCAAGGAGAAGGCTAAGTTTTTGGAGTCCTAGTTTCAAGTCTTTTAGTGTTCCAAGCCAGGGCTGGAAGCCCGGTGGCCTCGACTGCATAAGCCAGTATGCATGAGTGAAAAACACATCGACCCCCCAGCTGCATGAGCCTGCAAGTAAAGTTTCAAGGGCTGGACAGCCCTTTTCGGCGGCAAATGCTCCCAAGCGAGATCGATCTTCGGCCGCTGCAGCTACCAAGCTCAAGAAGCAGCTTTAGGAGTTACTTAGTCAGGCAGCCAAGGAGCTGCCAAGTCAAGCCGGTCCAAGCCATGGCCGGCCAGCAGCCTCGAGGGCGCCCAGGAGGAGCCATTCCCGCGATGGGAAAGGGCCCCCAGCGAAACAGTCAGCCAGGCGGCGCCGGACACCTGCACGCACGTAACAAAGTTTTGCGTTTTTTTTAAGGATTTAACGAAACCGCTGATGTCTATATTTGAAAGCACTCAGACTCAAGCGCCTGGCGAGAGAACTGGAGGGCGCTTTACAGCCAGTACAAGGACGAGGCCGGCCTTGGAGTAACAAGCAAAAGTTTATACATACATTATATATATATATATATATATATATCAAAAAATATACATAAAAATATGTACATATATATATATATATATATATATATTTGTTTTTTATATGTTTGTGTCCCTTGTTGCGGTCCCTATCTAAGCCCCCATCCCCTAAAACTATATACTTAATGAAAACCCCTGCGGCCAGGGCGAGACCTTCGGCCACTGGCAAAACGATGTGGTGCAACACCTTAGCCTCACGTTCGACACCCAGATGCCCCAGGACCAGTCGATCAGGTTGTTCATTAACCGGGTATTTGAGCAATCAGAAACAATCGACTCGATCGACGAATGGCTGGAGGTACAGTTGGATGAAATGAGCATGAGCAGGAGCAGCCAGGAGCCCCAGGATCCCCGCTCATCCAGGAGCCAGCAATCCCAGGAGCTCCACATTAATTGGACCTCCAGGAGGGATGGGCAGGATGAGCAGGGTCAGCGGCCCTGGAGGCAGCCACAGCCAGTGCCTGCACCTCCTAAGGGCCTCCAGCTCCAGGGCAAGACGTCGCCACCTCCCAAGCAGCCGCCGGCGAAAGCACCTGCCCAGGAGCAGCTTGACTGAATTTACTTGACCTTTTAATCTTCAAAACCTTTAGCTGTCTTCAAGCCGTCAAGGGTTGGAAGCCCTATTGAAGCCGTCAAGGGCTGGAAGCCCTATTGAAGCCGTCAAGGGCTTGAAGCCCTATTGAAGCCGTCAAGGGCTGGAAGCCCTATTGAAGCCGTCAAGGGCTGGAAGCCCTATTGAAGCCGTCAAGGGCTGGAAGCCCTATTGAAGCCGTCAAGAGCTGGAAGCCCTATTGAAGCCGTCAAGAGCTGGAAGCCCTATTGAAGCTGTCAGGGGCTGGAAGCCCTATTGAAGCTGTCAGGGGCTGGAAGCCCTTTTCAAACCGAAGCTGGAAGCACCCACAAGTAGCAGTGGAAACACCCAAAATTAGCCCTTAAGTTTGAGTCATGATCTCAGGCCCGCTCCGCCCGCTACCCCGGCGACCTCAGTCCCAGCCACCACAGCAGAAGGCGACCTTCCAGGCTTGAATTATCCAAGTCATGTATAAGCCACATGTAAAACGATTTTTGAAAACCCGTAAGCTTTCTTTGAAATCTCGGCAGCTTGCAGGAGGTCAAGCTGAGACGGAGGATCCCGCTGCCCTCGAGTTCTTGGAAGCCGAACTTGCCAAGCTCCAGGAGACCAGGCTCGAGGTGGCCCACGAGATCTACAGGCGCAACCGCGAGGTCGGATCTTTAAAACATAATTATCATCTACTCTTTAAGCAAAGATTTTATTGTAAAAAACCTATTATACTGTTTCCTTCTATTCTGAATTCTAGGAATATACGATTTCCAAGGCCCAGCTCCAGGACGAGCAGGAAAACGAAAGGCAGGCCACAGAGACGGAATTCCAAGAATTCCAAGAGTCAATGGAAGAAGTCAAGGCGAACTCTGATGCCGAATGGGAGGAAAAAATGATAAAGGAGGTGGAGGAGAGGAGGGCCAAGAGGTCGAAGACGAGGAGTGACGACCTAAGCAGAACGCTGGTCGTCAAGCGCCAAGACCTCGACAGAGAGCTCTCCAAGCTCCAGGAAGCACACATCTCCAGGTACGACCGGGACGTGAGGGACCAGTTGTCCAGGTTGAAGTTGGAAGTCTTCAAGTCCAAGGACCAGGACTTCACGACCAGGCTGGAGATGGAGACCGAGAAGCTCCTCAAGCTTCTTCCACGCACTGAAGACATGCTGGAAGCTATGGACAACCTCAGGTCTCAAGCCGGTCTTCCCAAGTCCGACCGGTCCCAAGGTCCCCAGAGCCATGATCTTTTGGGTCTTGGCCAGGACCAAGTCGACCCGCCCCAGGAGCTTCCCCAGTTTGGCAGCCACCAAAAGCCCACCAGCAGCCACCAACACAACCCGGAGCAGACCACGGAGCAGCCCCCAGGCCCAGCAGACGGTACTGACAACACCGGCCAAGGGGATGGCCAAGGGGATGGCCAAGGGGATGGCCAAGAGGATGGCCAAGGGGATGGCCAAGCGGATGGCCAGAACCAGCAGGGGTGGACCAACTCCCCGAACCAAGGCTCGGCTGGGCCCCCCCACCCTCACACCCTCACCCCCCCACCCCCACCACCAAGGCGGCAACCAGGGCGGCAACCAGGGCCCATGGAGCAACTACAACACGGGCAACTACTACCGCACCCAAGGCCAAGGCTCCTCCTCCCACGGCTACCACAACAGCAAACAACGTGGGGCCGTGAGCCAGGAGAAGCCCTTGGAAGAATTCCCCCCTGGCTTCCGCACTGGGTCAATGCCACAGGCGAGCAAACCCAACACCCCAGACCCTAAGCTCAAACTACAAATTAAAGCCCACATTTTTTGTTCATCCCTTTTCAGGTGGCGACTACGTGGGCGACGCCGATGAGAACTTCATCCACGCATTCGGCTGGGACTGCTTCGCCAAGTGCCGAAGCTGAGTCTTGTTTCTATTGGAATCGCTTTCATTGCATTCGTTAGAACCCATTCTTACGTCCAAGGGCTGGAAAGCCCTAGCTGATTATTTGATCTGCAACTCAGGCTCCAGATGCTCGTATGTGGGCCAGCGGAGCGTTTTGAGGTGCGCCACGTGCAGAGGCTGCATGTTCAAGGGCTGCTACGACTACAGAGAGGACAGTGCTGTCAAGGACCTCTTCAGGAAGTTGTGGCCATCTGAGCCTTGGAGAAGAAGATGACCTTTAATCCACACTCCAGGTTCCAGGTTTGCCCAAGCTGTCTGAAGCAGCTTCTTTTTCAAGCACCTTTTCTTTGAGTCCAAGCCACGTGCGGCAGAGGACCAACTGTCAGTGTAGGGCAATGTTTTGCAGATCCCAAGCTTGTAAGCGAGTAAATGCCAATTCCACGAACAACATGAACTACTCATTTATGTTTGTGTTTCATCAAACCAAAAAACTCGTATACTCAAGCATATGCAAGCTTATATCAGGGATCCAAGTCTCGTACATTAACCCGCTAGCCAAGGAGGTTCCAAAATGGGTCACAAAGCCGATCATCGAGACCCCAGGCAGCCAACACGAGCTCGAGAACCCAGTCGTCCACACTACAGCCCTTCAAGAGAACCCGATCGTCGACACTACAGCCCTCCAAGAAAACCCTGTGAGTCTTCAGGAGGCCCCTCCACGACATGTGGGGGCTCCGTTGTGGGTACCAGCAGGGCCCTCAAGCACCAACGTAGGGGTTCTTCTCATGGACACCAGGGGCTGGAGTCCTGCTGATATCGCACTGTACAGTGGTATTGCATCGGTAGTTAAGCATTCCCTACCTATAATCAAGGAGTGCTTGGAAATTCTTGTCAATTCCCAAGCACACATCTCCATAAGGGAGAGAAAAGAATCGGGACATTATAGTGAAGCCCACGACACTTACCACAACGAAGACCAGGAACTAAGTGGTGGGAACTTCCTTTTATGCTTGGCGGCTGTGCTTTTGGAACCTTCACTTTCTTCAGGCTGGTCAAGGGAGGACAAGTTCGGTGCTTTTGTGGAAGCTTGGGTGGTGACCAGGAGAACAAAACCCAATCTCCAGGTCCAAGCCATCCAAGACTCCCAAGCCTCCCAACCCAGCCAGGCGTCAGGATCCACATTTTCAGGATCCGCATCGCCAAATCCCCAAGTGGTCCAAGGTTCAGGCTCCCAGGCTTCAAGCTCCGAACAGCTTGGAGTCCAGGATGACCTAGCCAGGACCCACCACGACACGTTTGTCTCTTTTTGCAAGGCCTTGCAGCCGGTCTGTGCCGTGATGAGGCAAAGCCCCAGGCTCCGAGAACGCTTAAAGTGGGAGCTTGGACGGGACCATTGTATGGCTGTGATGGAAGAACCCAGAGGACGCCCGCTTGATTTTTTTCAATCGGCCGCTTGATTTTGGAGGCACACGAAACTTCTATTGAATTTGAGGAAATTTCAATCGTTTGGAACTTTTGTTGGTACGTGTTTCTATTGATTTTGAGTGTTGACTTCTATTGATTTTAATCGTGGTATTTCTATTGATTTTATGGAAAATTTCTATTGATTTTATGGAAAATTTCTATTGATTTTATGGAAAATTTCTATTGATTTTATGGAGATTTTCTATTGATTTTGAGGTGGATGTTTCTATTGATTTTATGGAGATTTTCTATTGATTTTGAGGTGGATGTTTCTATTGATTTCAGCTTGCTGAAACGACGGCCCGGGCGGCCCCAGTTTGCTAACCAAAGAGAGAGAGAGAGAGAGAGAGAGAGAGAGAGAGAGAGAGAGAGAGAGAGAGAGAGAGAGAGAGAGAGAGAGAGAGAGAGAGAGAGAGAGAGAGAGAGAGAGAGACAGACAGACAGAGAGACAGAGAGACAGAGAGACAGAGAGACAGAGAGACGGAGGAGACGGAGGAGACGGAGGAGACGGAGGAGACGGACAGAAGAGATGGGATGTGGGCCGGACGGCCCCACGAAGGGAGAAGGCGGGGGAATCATTTTTGGCAGGTTCGTGCATGGCAGCCGTCTTGAAACCAAAGCTTCCAGGGGCCGGACGGCCCTAAGAAGGAAGAAGGGGGGGAATCATGCTTCAAATCTCGTGCATGGCAGCCGTCTTCAAGCCAAGCTGCCAGGAACTTTGGGATAGGTCAAGATGCAGGGCGATGATGAAATTGTCGTCCAGGCCTATGCCAAGCTGCTTCACGCCAAGGTTCCAGGCAAAGTCGCGAGGTCCTTGGTCGTGATGTGGCGGAGAGGTTACCTAGACCAGCTGGAGATTCTTGGTATGAACACATATACATATACATATATATCTACATATATATACTTATACATATGCCGTATATAGACTATGTATTTAATTTTTTACTTATATAGAGCTAAGGGATGTCGACAAGGAAGTGGGCTTCCTGAACTTTTTGGAGTACCTCATGTACAAGATCGAGAATGATATGGACAGCGACCCCGAGCGCTGGCCGGAGGCGACGAAGCACATGAAGATGAAGGAGCACGGGTACATCCGCTTGTTGCTCAACGATGCTTCATTGATCGCTCTCCAAGCAAACCCAGGCCCCTTGAGCGGAATGACGAAGCCTCATCTACTTTCGGAAGCAGTGCGGGTGGGGCTTAAGGTACACCAGTCCTGGAGCGACCAGGAGTTGCGGGCGAGGATCATGGAGCACGTGGACGCTACATTTTTTTGAAATTGAGCCGCCCGTGCGCCAGGTCCGAGGATCTGACCAGTGCCAGGCGGCTGGGAGGGGAGCTCCAGGACAAGCCTCAAGTTTCCAAGATTCAAGGGGTCGTTTGTTAGAAGCGGCTTAATTCAAGTGCTAATCCAGGGCAGGCTACTGCCAGGGTATAATTCAAGCCGAGATCGATCAAGCCCTGCTTGACATGCAAAATTGTCTTGGCGAGAAGAGGACCTGAGCTGAAGTTTTTTTTCATAGTACGCTGCGTGCTTCAGGCAGGCCTAGCCAGGTCCTGGGCTTCAAGCTCCAGGCAGGTCTGTCGGGTTTAAGTGCTGCAGGCCGCCATGCAAGTCCTCAGGTTCTTAGAGCCATGGGCAGCCCCGCAGCTGCTGGCCGCGGCGGCGAACGCAACTTCGCCAAGCCGGAGGTGGACCAGGAGCACTTGCTGGACGTGTTCAAGAAATACGTCAAGCTCCTAGGTGTCCAGGCCGCCTTCAGCTTCGACCCCTACGGCAACCTAGCCAAGACGAGTGCTGTCCAGGCCAAAGGGCTTTCAAAGGCGACGGTTTTGCTCAAGAAACTCCAGGAGGTGGAGGGCGGCTTGGCTTTCAAGTACAAGGACTTGAAGGAGTGCTTGGCCAAGGTCAGCAAAGACTTCCCGGACCTCATCCTCCAGGCCCCGCTGACCAAGCAAACTTCTTGGGCTGGGGACACGGCCGAGATGCTGCTGATCGTCATGGCTCATGCTCGCCGCTTGTGCAACGACACCAGGTTCAAGGAGGCTTGCAGCAAGGCGACCCAGTTCGAGATCAAGGATCTCGAGGAACTCAGGGCGCTGCTTCTTCCAGAAGTGTTAACCTCACCAGCCAAGCTCCAGGACCCGGAGACCCACAACACCAAGCGGCCGAGGACAGCGACGCCAGAGCCTGCGACCAAGCCGCCAAAGCTACGGTCGCCAGCCCCTGCGAGCAGTCCGCTTCGAAAGATTCGGACCAGGGATCTGGAGCTTCCAGACACTCCCAAGACCGCCAAGACGAGTTTGAGCCAGGAAGCCGAAGGCAGTCACGTGCCAGGCAGCAAGGCTCGAATCAGGAAGTCTTGGGAGGGCGAGGTTTTGAAGAAACCAGCTGCAGCCGCTAAGCCTGTGAAAAAGGACAGTGACAAGCCGAAGAAGAAGCCGGCCTCTAATCTTAAAATTAGAAAAAAATTTTTGTTGTTCGTAAGCATATATTTCTATCTAGGAAGATGTATTTAAGTGAAGCCCTGAATGTTTAATCTCCATCATCAGGCCCCCAAGGACAAGGACAAGCCCGAGTTGACGGAGGCTGAAAGGGGCAAGCTGCAGATCATGCACTACCACGACAGTGTCGCATTGAGAGTCTACGGTTCTAGGCAGCTTTTCCAGATCGTGTGCAGGAAGCATGGTCGGGATAAGACCAAGCTTCAGGTTGCCAAGATGAAGAAGAAGCTCGCCGAGGGCGGCTCTTTGGCAGAGGCCTTCAAGGAGAAGGCTAAGTTTTTGGATTCCTAGTTTCAAGTCTTTTAGTGTTCCAAGCCAGGGCTGGAAGCCCGGTGGCCTCGACTGCATAAGCCAGTATGCATGAGTGAAAAACACATCGACCCTCCAGCTGCATGAGCCTGCAAGTAAAGTTTCGAGGGCTGGACAGCCCTTTTCGGCGGCAAATGCTCCCAAGCGAGATCGATCTTCGGCCGCTGCAGCTCCCAAGCTCAAGAAGCAGCTTTAGGAGTTACTTAGTCAGGCAGCCAAGGAGCTGCCAAGTCAAGCCGGTCCAAGCCATGGCCGGCCAGCAGCCTCGAGGGCGCCCAGGAGGACCCATCCCCGCGATGGGAAAGGGCCCCCAGCAAAACAGTCAGCCAGGCGGCACCGGACACTTGCACGCATGTAACAAAGTTTTGCATTTGTTTTAAGGATTTAACGAAACCGTTGATGTCTATGTTTGAAAGCACTCAGACTCAAGCGCCTGGCGAGAGAACTGGAGGGCGCTTTACAGCCAGTACAAGGACGAGGCCGGCCTTGGAGTAACAAGCAAAAGTTTATACATACATTATAATATATATATATATATATATCAAAAAATATACATAAAAATATGTACATATATATATATATATATATATATATATATTTGTTTTTTATATGTTTGTGTCCCTTGTTGCGGTCCCTATCTAAGCCCCCATCCCCTAAAACTATATACGTAATGAAAACCCCTGCGGCCAGGGCGAGACCTTCGGCCACTGGCAAAACGATGTGGTGCGACACCTT